AGGACGTGGATGTGCTGCAGAGCATCCAGAGGAGGCCACAGAGTTGATCAGAGGCCTGGAGCACCTCTGCTATGGATTTAGGCTGAGAGAGTTGGGGTTGTTCAGCCTGGACAAGAGAAGGCTCTGGGGAGACCTTACAGCTTATTCCAGTGCCTAAAGGGGGCATATAAGAAAGCTAGAGAGGGATTTTTGACAAGGGCATGTAGTGGTGGGACAAGGGGAAATGGCTGTAAACTGAAAGGGGACAGGTTTAGATTAGATATTAGGAAGAAATTCTTCCCTGTGGAAGTTGTGAGACACTGAAACAGGTTGCCCAGAGATGATGTGGATGCCCCATTCCTGGAAGTGTTCAAGGTCAGGTTGAATGAGGTTTTGAGCAACCCAGTCTAGTGGAAGGTGTCCCTCCCCAGGATAGGGGGGTTGGAACTAGATGGTTTTAAGTCTCTTCCAACCCAAACCATTCTATGTGGAGGAGAAGCAGCATTGTGGCACAGTGGTGATTTCATATATCCCATATTCGGTCTGGGAGCCACAACCCGGGTTCTTTTGAAAACTACCCAGAGCAACAACTAACAGGATTTTTGCTTGTAACACCTGCTGCTGTACTTTGAAAGGAGAATCTGGAACTTCTAGTAGCAGATGGCCCTTTCACATCTTCATAGCTTCTTGGTAAACCTCTGACCTTTCTGAAGTTGTTTCAGTAAGCCAGTTAAGTCTGAATCAGGAAAAACGTAAGGCTCATGAAGAAGCTTAATCCCACTTAGTAACCCAATCTTATGACATTTACAGACCTTCTGCTATTTTTATTTTCAGTAACAGGGTAGTAATCTTTTGTCATCCAACTTTATTATTGCTTCCAAGAATTTTATAGGAGCAGCGTAACCATTTACCCACTTGCTGCAAAGGACCTGAATTATAAGTGTGCTGGAGCTACTCTCCCACCCACACAATGTGTGTTTTGGAGTGCTGATGTAACTGGTGGAGTTTCACAAGCCACTGTTGACTTTTCTCAAAGACTGCTGTTTCCCCTCTGACTAGTCCTATATTCCAGACAGGAAACATGGAGCTGTTTTGGAAGATAGCCATCTTCAAGTCAGTGAAAACAGCGCACATAGCACCTTTTTGCCTCCCTGACTTGCCAAATAAACAAGTGTGGAAAGACTTCTGAAGGGCATTGTCTTGTATTCTAAGACGTGGCAGGTAAGACAGGTGAGACGAATTCCTCATCCCCCATCCCCCATGCTTTCATTTTCCCTCACCAATGGCTGTAAACTGGGCTTCAAACTTGAGTTATTTTCAGATAGCCAAAGTTAGTCAAGGTGAATGCCAGACCTGCTCTAGAAACACCAGAGTCAATAGTAGTCTTTCAACTGACTTCTGCTAACAAACGATTGGCCACACTTTCCAAGAATTTGGCTCTTGCTGAAGAAGGTTGATGAACAGTGTTAGGAACTGTGGCAGTAGTTAGGATACCTTATGTACTACAGAAGTTGTTCAATATCTTGCAAGAATGGCTCAGTACAAGGATGCAGCAGAAACGGGGTGGCAACTGTTGACTTGCTCTTTGATTTGATTGTTCTTCCACATTGTTCTCTCAGTATGAAAGTCTCAGAATCACAAATTAAAATGTAGTTATTTCGTCATTTTCACACAGCTTAACTTTATGTTCCTTTCCAACTCGCCACTGAAGGCCTTCAGTCTGAGGCATATACGTTTGTATCACTCCAGGCATTTGGCTGTTGTGTAAAAAGCTTTGTAGTGTGAGTTGTGCATACTTTCTAGCTTTCCCTCTCTCCCATTAGCATTGGTTAAAAGGGAAAATTCAAGGAGATAGTGCTTGTGATGGTTTTAGTCTAGGCCTTCCTGGTAACCAGCTCGTAACCAAGGAAGTGGCCATGTTCTCAGTATTCCACACAATTTTTACAGAAACCAGGGTATAAATAAGTTGGAGATTAGAGACCTTGCTCTCTTCTCTTCTGGTGAGGTTCAGGAGCAGCAGGTCCTTGCGTTGGTCTCACTTATCCAGAGGCTGAGGCCTGCAGAGACTGCTGGTCTACCACGCAGGGGTTTGGAGAGTGCTGGCCATGTCTGGTGATCTTGCTTTTCTAAGGGACATGGTGAGATTTTGTTTTTCTAGTTCTTTATTTTGCTAGTTCTTGGGTTTGATTGTGCATATCTGTTCTGGTTTTGTCCCTTTTTGGCCCTTTTTTCCCCTTTCCCTTTCCCTTTGGAGGTGTTTGGGAGCCCCTTTGCTGTGCACATAGTATTTCAATTGTATATAACTGGAATAGATGTAAAATATATATTTTTATATAATTAGATTGATTTCAAGATCTTCCATTTTTATAGGGTTTTTTTCCTTTGCCCTAAGGGAAGAAGGGAGGGGGAAGGGGTTGTTACTGTGAGTTGGGGCATTTGGCAGGGAGCTGGATCTGAACCATCACAGTGCTCCCCTCAGAGCTGTTGAAGCACCCAAGTTCACTCAGTCAGTCGAGCAAAGGCAGAGGATGCTGGCTGCTCTCTGTCAGAACTGAGGGTCTGCAAATTCCCACAGACGTTTCTCAGTTTTGTACAGTGCAAAGTAGAATTGCCTTTGACTATTTCTGTGCATGTTCCCACAGCTGTCCACGCTCTTCTTACACTAAAGGGAGAGAAACACGCACCTCCACAGGGTTGTCTTACCCACAGGCTGCATGATTTGCTTTCTGAGGCACTGATGTCTTTCCACTGACAACAAAGTGAGACTACTTATTTTTAGATGGCTGCCATTAAATGAAGTGAAAATAGCCCATAAGTGACTTCTCTCTTTACCACAGCTACCACATTGCCAGGCTTTGTTGAACATATCTCAGGTATCTTGTCCTTGTGACAATCCCAAGCTGCTGCACCTCCTTGTTCGATGGAACATCCCTTCCATGTCCTGAAGTGGGGAGAAAGCTGACCGTATATATGCCATGTCAGCTGATGTGCCTTCTCATACCGCATCTACTACGTGGACTTCAGAGCACAAATTATATTTACCTTGAAAAGGGTATGCACATGCAATCTATTTTTACTAATGATGGCCTAAAGGACAGGGCATACCTGAGATCTTGCTCAAGTTACGAGAAACTAAAAATGTCTGATCTGTATCTTTTCCCATTTTTTTTTACACATTGAACATTGCATTTCCCAAGTGAAAAATCAGGATGCGTTGATCAGGAAACTGTTAACACCAGAGACTTATTAATAGTAACTACAGTACAAAAGCAGCCATTTCCAGTTTTTATGCAGCATTACATTTGCTTGATGCAGATAAAAAGAAATTACTCATGAGGCAATGGAAAGAAAGGGGTAGGAGGGTGAATCACATTGAAAGAATAGGAAAAAATGAAAGTGGGGGTAAAATTTTTTGAGCATGCTGTGTCATCAGTAAAAACTAATTTGCTATATCAGTGGAATGCTATTAAGTCCTGCTTGGTTGGGCACAATGTATGGTGGAGGAGGGAATATTTCAGTCAAATTGAATGACAGTAATTTTGGGGGAAAGAGAATGATTCTTATTATTTTTTTCTGGAAGGGAATTCAATGACATCTTCCCATCTAATTCTGATTTGCAGCCAATTACTGCACAGTTGCACAACTGGAGCCAAACTCTTGCTGTTAGCAGGGCACAACCCAATTGTCTAAGACTGAAAATAAGTGAACACAAGGAGAGTGCAAGTTCTCTTGAGATCAGGATTACAAACTTTTAGTTTATCTGTTAAAATTGTAGTTAATTATAGGTATTTTTTTTCCAGTGGCTGTGGTTATATTATCAAGATTACTCTTTGAAACAGGACTAAGGAATGCTCTAGAAAAATCTCTACTTTAGGGACACCAGGCTTTTTCAAATTACTACTAACTAATCTATTGTAATATGCGTATTACACGGGACGCACTCTTACACTGGATTTTTATGCAAGTTGGTAACAGGAAAAAACTGCCCAGTATCACCTGGGGTTTTTTTTCAGGATTGCATCTTCCATTTCTCTCCGCCTAGGAATACTCTTTATTCCATAAAAGATTGGAAAACTTTAGTCCATAAAAGACTGGAAAACATATTTATTCACGTCAAAGTCAGAAAAAAAAATGTTTAATATTGTGCCAGAGAAGCCAAAATGAAAGGCTTAATCCAGACATGAAAAGTGACACTGCTTACAGGCACATTCCAGTTTTCATGTGCAGTTTATTTCCCCTTGGTGCTGTCAGTATCTCTGCCTGCTGTCTAAAGGGCTGTTCCCACCAGAGAGGGCTGTGACCTGGGCTCTTAGGGTGCCTTCATATCCACTCCTCTATTCCTTACTGAAACCTTTCCTAGCACCTGATCTGAGTCAATATATGGAAGTAGGTGTAATGTTGCAAAATCTACAATCATTCTGTGAAAATTTTCAGGATTTCTTTCTCATTTATGGGGCACAAAATAGGCATGTGGCACATCTAAGGAAAAAAAAAATCTCCAAATTGTCCAGCCTTCTCAGTGCTACACAGCTCTGAGTTACATAACCCATGCCTATATTGAAACCCAGGTATGTCAAACATGCAGGGCACCCCAGGCCCATTTCTCTTTGCACCAGCCTGATCTCCAAGAACAGCGCTGAGGGCAGCCCCTAGGCTGAGTGCTCCCACCAGGAGGCCAGGACCAGATTCCCACATCTTCTTTCCCCTCCTGATCCTCCCTGCTTAGTGCAGTAATTCCACAGCAGATCAGCTTGCCACTTCACTGCAACAATCTGAAGGATATCCAAATTCTTTGCACAAATACTGGTAGGACTTCAGTGGGAAAAAATATTTCTCACAAACCCCTCTGGACTCTCCAGTTGATAACTTATGCCTTTTGTTCAGTCCCTTCACTTATGCTACAGAGCTCAGTACAGCCAGGTCACTCCAGCTCACTGACCTGCTGCAAAGTGATTTCTTTCTCTGAGTTATTCTCGGCTCTTACTCTGCTCTCTGCTTCTAGGGCTGTCTCAGCGTGCCACATCCCAGGATGAGCTTTGGGAAACAGATGAAATCTTTGCTCTGTCACATGAACATGTGCTGCTGTTGAGAAAGTTCTCAATTTAGGCCCAAGATTGTGATTTTAAGATTCTGCCACAAACTGCCCCTTGAATTTACCGCACATCTCATTGTACTTCTCCTGACTTTCTGAAGGGTTTGGAGAGATTTGCTGAGGTGGTTAATACCCAAGCACACAGTATTTCTTTCAGGATAACACTGAAGATAATTTATCCACAAATACCTTTGTATTGAAGGTATTTGACGAGAAGGTTTCAGTGCGGACAAAGGTGTATGCAGTACAGGAAGCAGTGGGTCTGATCAGCTGATCTTGCATCTCCTTGCTACAACAAATATACTTGAGACGGTGTGAGGGACTGAAATGTTGGTAATGTCTTAAACGTTGTCAAAACCATAGAAAGACTTTCTGTCAAACTGCAAGGAAACAACAGTCTGTGGCCACCAAAGCACCCCCTCTCCTCCCTGTGCCTCCTGACTGGAATTTGGATTGTAAATGGGGACTTGACAAGGCTCAGGAGAGAATAATGTACCTGTATTAAGAATCAGCCCTAGCTGGGCTCAGGGGGTGGTAGGGGAGAAGGGTTTTGGTTGTGTGATGGTGAAATCTCTCCACACCAAACAAAAGGAGTAACCCCGTGCCCCCCAGGGAGACCACGAACATGGGGAACATTCACATGAGAGGCAACTGAGGAGGAGTCAGAAACCATGAAAGACCCCCAAAGTGCCCCCCTAATTCATTCCTGAGGCCTTCTGCCACCAGAAGACTTCATGTGATCCAAGTGAGGCAACACATCTGTTACAAGAGACTATAAAGCTTCCCTCCTCCAAGAGGAGGTGCCTGGCATCTCCTGAACATTTATTATTCCATTGAATCCTATGTTTTTTTGGAAACCCTTACCCCCAAGAAGACCAGAAGAACTGGACCTACGGGATGCCACCAGGTTCCATGGAGTGGTGATACTTTTTCTATTTTAAACTCTTTCTCACTCTTCTACCCCTCAACCCGTTTTCTCTATTTCTTTCTATCTCTCTTTCTCTGTCTCACATTTACCATTAAATAAAACTCATACTATTGACTTTGGTATTTGGTCTCGTTCGTACCTTAATTTGGGCAGAGGCACTTCTAATAATTTTAATAACCAGATCATAACAGACAGAGATCAAGGTAGTCCAGCAAGAAAGGATACAAAGAGGACAGACAGGAAATGATTTATTATTTTACTTAAAAGGAACGATATTACTTGGTCATAAGCCTAGAGGTAATAAAGAATTACCATTTCTTGGGTAATGAGAAATTACACCTCCACAACGTCTGAATAAGAATGCAGTCCACTGAAAGTAATTCTTCAAGAAAGGATGTCAGAAAAGCTTAGGAAATGCACAAAGCTGAACCACATTGCTGCCAAAACAGTAGTTTTTCTGAGAAACCACCAGAACTGGATGTAGAGCAGTCCAAAGTCGTCCCAGCTCTGGTCGTGGGAAGGTGCTGTATCTAATGATGCTTTTCCAGGGGCAAGGCAGATTTTTCTTGATTTTGTTTTTGTTTTTGTTTTTTTTTTTTTTTTGGTTTTTGTTTGTTTGGGTTTTGTTGTTGGTTGGTTGGTTTTTTTGGGGTGTTTTTGGTTTTTTGGTTTGGTTTGATTTGGGGTTTTTTTTTTGTTTTTGGGGGGAGGGATTGGTTTGTTTGTTTAAATAACCAGTAATTATTCCAAGATCTAACTATTTCTATGTTTCTTAAAGAGCTGGATTTAGGTCCCATAAGATGAGAGAATGAGAGGATCCAAATCTGTGTTATTTCTGAAAGCCTTTATGGGGCACTCCACTATGCAAAAGCAAAAAAAAAAAAGGAAAATAAAAAGGAAGAAACTAAAAATTAAGGAAAAATAAGGAAAGAAGCCTTTGTGGGGTTTTAGAAGAACTCTTTTGCAAAAGGGTACAGGGCACACTGGAAGGTGTGTGGGTGTGTAGGAGATCGATTTGCCCTGGTTGGATGGCAGGTGCCCATTAAAGCTGCTCTGTCACTCCCCCCCTCAGCTGGACAGGGGAGAGAAAAAAAACAAAAGAGTCGTTGGTCAAGATGAGGACAGGGAGAGATCATTCACCAATTACCATATGGGTGAAACACACCCATCTTGGGGAAATTAGTTTAGTTTATTACAAATCAAATCAGAATAGAGTAATAAGAAACAAGAACAAAGCTAAAAACCACGTTCCCCTCAGCCCTCCCTTCTTCCTGGGTTCAATTTCACTCCATATATCTCTACCTCCTCCCTGACAGTGGCACAGGAGGAGGGGGAATGGGGGCTGTGGTCAGTTCATCACACGCTGTCTCTACCACTCCTTCCTCCTCAGAGGTTGGGTTCCTCACACTCTTCCCCTACTCCGGCGTGGGATCCCTCCCACGGGACATAGTTCTCCAGGAACTGTGTGTGGGTCCCTTCCATAGGGTGCAGTTCTTCAGGAACAGGCTGCTTCGGTGTGGGTGCCCCATGGGGTCACAAGTCCTGCCAGCAAACCTGCTCCAATGTGGGCTTCTCTCTCCATGGGACCACAGGTTCTTCCAGGAGTCTGCTCCTGCACAGCCTTCCCACGTGATCACAGCCTGCTTCAGGCATCCGCCTGCTGTGGAGTGGAGTCCTCCAGGGGGTGCAGTGGATCTCTGCTCCAATGTGGACCTCCATGGGCTGCAGGGGCACAGCTGCCCCACCATACTCTGCTCCATAGGCTGCAGGGGAATCTCTGCTCCAGAGCCTGGAGCACGTCCTCCCTCTCCTTCTGCACTGAACTGGGTGTCTGCAGGGCTGTTTCTCTCACATATCCTCACTCCTCTCTTCTGGCTGCTGTTCCTCAGCAAATATTTCCCCCCCCCAACTTCAACTCTGTTATCCCAGAGGTGCTGCCACCATCACTGATGGGCTCAGCCTTGGCCAGCAGCAGTCCATTGTGGAGCCAGCTGGTATTTGCTCTGAGGAGGAAGCTTCCAGCAGCTCCTCAGAGATGCTACCTTCGTCCCCTCCACTACCAAAACCTTGCAATGCAAACGCAATATGGTATTAATTCCAAAAGACAGAGATAATAGGTAAACTTGAGATGGGCTTCATATGGCCCTCTGCTGCCTACCAAAGGTCTCCATTATCTAATTTGTGTAGTATTTTTCTAACCTTAACACTGACCCTAGACTGAATAGCAGAATAAATATCCTCACACACTGTTCTGCTCACATATAGAACAGTGGAGCTCAGGCAACCATGCTGGCTTATATCTTACTTGTATTCCACTCTCCTTTTTTTACAAGTGATTCATGAGAAGGTTGTAAAAGGATCAAATGTATTTACTCTTCCAGATTCTGCACTCATTTCTAGTACAATATTTTACCCCTGCAGAAGGCACTCCGCTCTTTTGAGAGTGCATATTTCATGTTTTTCCTTGGAAACTTAGTGGAGCTGGTACACATCATGGCACCCTGTTTCTTTCTTCCTGTATTTAGATCACAGACCACTAACATTCAGAAATGACAGGTCAGAATTCCTGCAGGTAAGAGCTCATATATAAAATTCCTCTGTGTAAACATTAATTTTATAAGATCTGCAGGAAAAATTAACCAACAAACCCCAACACTGAGAGCAAACAGGAAATATTCACAGTTTACTATTCATTTTAGTTATAATTTGATTTGAGACTTCATTTTAAAAAAAAACATTTCTACTATGCAATTAACTGAAGAGCCTTCTAAAAGTTTTACTTCATACCATCCATATCTTCACTAGAGTGCCAGGCCATTTGAGACAACTCCTGTTAATCCCTGGATTAATTTACTGGATACTATTCCCCTATAAATTCAAGAGAAACTCCAGTAACACTAAATCCTTATTTTCCCAACAGATTTTACCAAAACACCGAAACTTGCTACTTTATGTCTCAAGGGTACTCAAGAGCTTCTCCAGTTCTGGCAGATGACCTCTGCTCTTTCTGTCTCTCTCATTTCACTCTTTGTATTTTCTGTGTATTTTTTCAGTTAGATTTGGAGGGCAGGGACCAGCCTTTCATTGCCCAAGTTCTCGCAACAGTAAAGTAGCAGTCTGGAATGCACTAGGCTCAGGTTTGGTGATCTCCTCATACCTTTTTTATTTTTAAGCTCTATGAATATATGTGAATATTGTCTTTACACTTTCACAGGTGCTCCTTTTCTTGTTTCAATCTCTAGACAAATTGAGAAGGAATCCAACACTTTTGGCCTAGCCTTACTAAAAGCAGTTCATGTTTTATTAATACATATCTATTTCTGCTCTAACAGCTGAATGAGCAGAGAAGAGATCTTAGTCCCATACTCAAACTCCTGGGCTATATGAGTTTCCATATTTTTTTCCAAATGCCAGTTGAACACTGTGAAGTATGAAGCGAAACCAGCAAAGCAGAAGTGCATTTGCTGTGCATTTATATAGCATTTTGCTAAATATATTCTGCAGATTTTTTCTTCTATTACCAGGGAGGTTTTTCAGCATCATGCCATTATCCCAAACTGCAGGATTTCTTGTAGATATTTATTTTGTCTCTACATGCATTATAGATCCAATAAAAACTACTTTAATAGGAAAAAAGTATAAAATTCTCAGATTTGTGAGCTGTGGGTAATACAGTTGTTACAGGAAAGTTTGAATGCATTTACCTTTACCAGGGTCCAATTAAAGACACCATTTAAAAGGCAGATGATAACTGCAATGTTCAGCGAGGCTGTGGGATATTCTCAAGGTGAGAGGGAGCAAAGAAAGTTCAGCTCGAAAGAGAAGTGTATTCCTGAGGAACAATTCAACCAGCCTGAATCAGGATCTGCTGACAGAAAGAGATATTGGACTGGATAATGGCTTCCAAGCCTGGAAAAGAGAAGGCTCGAGGCAGACCATATGGCACCTTCCAGGACCTAAAGGGGGCATACAGAAAAGATGGGGACAAACATTTTAGCAGCGTCTGTAGTGACA